TCAGTGTATATCTGTGGATGTCTGTCTCTGCTTCCTTCAGCCACTGGGTGAGGGCTCTAGGATGGCATAAAGAGAAGTCATCAATCTCATTTTAGCGGAAGAGCTTTTGGGTTATCCTCTCCACCATTGCCTGGATTGTCAGCTCGTGTCATCCTTGTAGGTCTCTGGAGATCTCCCTGGTTCCAGATCTCTTCTCAGACCTATAGTGGCTCCCTCTGATATGGTATCTCTCATCCTGCTCTCTTTCCTCTATTCTTCCCCCAACTCAATGTTTCTGCCCCTCCATTTCTTCTCCTCTACTCCTCTTTTCTTGCTCTTATTGTTCAAAAATTCTTATGTAGGTACTTAGTTCTATATTTCTCTTAGGACTGGCTTCAGTATGTCCCATATTTTTGTATGTGTGTTTTCATTGTCGTTGAGTTCTAGAAATTGCTTTCCTTTTTGATTTCTTCCTTGACCCAATTATCATTCAGTAGCATGTTGTTTAGATTCCCATCTGTTTATGTAATTTCTGCAGTTATACAGCTTTATCCCATTGTGGTCAGACAGAATGCAGGATGTAATTTCTGCTTTCTGTATCTTTTGAGATTTGGGTTCTGATACATACTAGGATAAACATGATCTAATTTGAAGAGATGGCTGCTGAGAAGAATGTGTTCCTTAGAATTTGGGTGGAATGTTATGCTTGCTGGCCCGTTTGATGTATGATGTCATTGAACTCCATCCAGAGTTTCTCTGTTTAGTATTTTTCTGGATGACCAGACTATTCGTGACAGTAGAGTATTGAACTCACGAACTATCGCTGTGTTGGGATCAGTCCATGGTTTTAGATCTAACTTTAGATCTAACTAACAGTGTTTCTTTTCTGAAATTGGGTGCTCCTGCATTTGGTGAGTATATATTTGAGATTGTACTAATCTCCTGGCAATTCTTGACACATAACCACAGGGCTTTAGGTGATCCAATGAAGGGGTACTGGGAAGGGGAGTGCAGTTACCCTGCCTGTGTCTTCACACCATATGCGGTAGGTAGCTGGAGAGTTCCTGGTAGAGGATAGTCTTGTTTTAAATTTTTAATTTACTCAAATTGCTTTGCCAAAGTGCCTATAATATTTATATTACCAATGTCTGGTGAGAATGTGACTCATTCTTTTTTTTTCTCTCTCTCTCCTTTTTTTATTAGAAAGAAAATTATTTTACATGTCAATCCCAGGT